GGAAAGAAGCAGGAGGAGAAGACTTTGAGAAGAGCGCTCCATGGAAGCCACGTTGATCCTTCGAAACTCAAGGTTCAACCAATCAGATTCGTCGCGCAATAGGAAGATCCTATTGATCCACGCACCTGATTGGTGAGCGGGAGTTATCGAAGGATCGACCAGGCGTCGTGTACTGGACTCAGAGGGTGAGAAGAGAAAATGCGTGAGAGGTGGCGCAAGACGGGTCCAAGATTCAGATGATCAAGAAAGGGAAATGGGCGCGCAAAAAGCACAGCGGGAGAAAGAGAGAGAAAAAAAAAAACAGTTACGAGGAGAGAGAAAGAGGAGGGAGCGATGGGGGGGAGCGATGGGGGGGACAGAGAGGAGAAAGCTTTTGCATGTGCGGCGTCGTCAACAAAAAGAGAGAAAAAGGCACCGAAACAGTTACAGCTTGCCTCTGTCCTAATTCAAAAATTGAAATCACCATATCTACGCGCGAAAAAACGACGCGGAAAAAGAAAATCCTACGCCTATTCGTATTCGCACAAAATTCCGAGAGTTTTCCCCAACGCGACCAAGAACATTCAGACACAAAAAGGATGCGTCGAAGTTTCGCTTATCCTGGAATTCCCAACTGTCGGACCCAATTCCCAATGCGCTCGCTAAGGCGCACGTAATTTCCTAGGTATTTCCCGAATTGCAAAAAGGAAGAGCAGAACCCGAGAATCGAAAAAGCTTCCAAAAGATGGGGGCTAAAAATGCGGCACCCGAAATCAAAAAAACGAAGCGGGGTTTTTATAGGGTTGGTATGATATAAGCAAAAGAAAGGGTACGAAAGATAGCACGGGTTCGGGAGGTAGTTCGTCACATATGTGACGCGCAGGGGGTTCCAAAATTATGCAATCTCCTGATTGCATGTCATGGCGGAGAAGGAGAGAGAGAGGGAGAGAACAGAGTGATGCATGAGGAACCAAGCGTATGAACAAATGATCCGGCCAGCCATGTTGACGCCAACTTCAATTGCAATCTTCTGTGGGCTCGTGCTGCTGGAATCATCGATGGTCATCCAGGTGACGCCGTCATCGTCCGCCGGTTCTCCGTGTGCTCTGCACCCCAGTTTATCGCTGCCCGTCGAATCAGAGCGTAGGTTGACGTCATTGTTGATGGCGTGATCTTCGCGTAGCTTACTGATTCGGGCCGTGTTCCTCTACCGATTAGATGAAGAGAGGAGGGGGAATAGTCACGTGATCGGGATCTACCTCCTAGTTGGAATGGGGCAGTAGAGTCAGTACATGGAGGGGATCTCACGGGGACGACGGGGAGGAAGTGGGGGAAGATAGCGATTCATCCCTTCCATCGTCATCGGAAGCTCCTCATATCGGATGATGCGGTGGAAGTGAGGGAAGTGATCGCCGCTGCGAGGGACGGAGGCAAGGTAGTCGCGATAGAAGGAGGAGAGGCTGCGAAAAAGCGCCGCAAGAAAGAACTCGTAGTGGCGACAGGCAGGGATTGTCCCCGTGGATACGCAGTAGACTTCTACCACGTTGCATCGTTCCCATGCAGCGCTGAACAGCAGGATATGCCAGCAGAACGTGGGCGCAGCGGGCTGAAAGGATGCGTGGGGGTGGACGGTAGCGAGTAGGCGGGTAGAGTAGAAGTCGSGGAAGAGATGGGGGAGGAAGGGATGGGGGGGGAAGGTGACGGGGGTGCGGATCTGTTCGAGGGTGAGAAAATCAAGGGGTCGGCGGGATAGCGTCTGAGGACGAAGGCCTATCGCCTGCATCGGTACGTGGGCGAACTGGGGGACGGGTGGGGCTGGAGGAGGAGGGGGATCGGCTCCGTCTCCGTCACGCGGCACTTGAGGTGGCGACTGCAGGGTCGCCATCTTCGGGCTCTGGCGGTTCCGGATCTCTGGTCGGATCGTTACCGATTCGCAGGCCGGCTCCGCTGGCAAACTCCAGCTGACGCTTCCCGGTGGCAATTTCTTCGCGCTTTCGCGCTGCTTCCGGATCTTCCGCCTCCGTTCCCGTGCGCGTCGCTTTCTCCGAGAAGGCTTCCCACTCGGATCCAGTTTCTTCTTCCTCCTCTTCTTCCTCACTTAGCTCTCCCTCGCTATATTCGCTATAGCTTCCCTCCTCCGATGTTTGCTCGTCTTCGTCCTCTTCGTCGTCGATCACTACTTCCTCCGCCCTCGGATAGAAGGCGTGAGGGATGATATCGTACGGCTTCAGATACTCCTGGCGAGACGGCAGCGTATCTTCGTCCCTGGGCTCCTCCAAGCACGCAGTCCACTGAAGGTACGGATCCAATGACCGCTCGAGAACGTGCAGAGCAGGACTGTCGTCATTCTGCGAATAAATGTCAGCCGAGAGATCGTCCGCTAATTGCACGATCGGCGCTATGAGCTCTTGCGCAATCAACTGGCGGCGCCCCAGCTGTACCGATCCAAAGAGAAAGCCAAAAAGATCGCCCTCCACGTTAGTCCTCCAAACCTGTATGATCAACAGTTCCACACTCTCAATCCACGTAGGATGTTCGTTGGTTTGCGTCCACGTTACCCGTACTCGGGCCAAGCAGAAGGACAACTCGTTCAAAGTTTCACGCCACAACCGCCAATGTTCAGGATTGATAAGAGGGACTGAAAGAGGCTCGAACGAGAAAGAAAGAGAAGGATGAAGATCGGATTGCCAGAAGGTGGGGAAAAGAGAGGGGAGACCGAAGATAGAGAGAGGAGCGAGAGGATCGGCGTGGTTCATTGGGGACGTGGGAAGCGGACGAGGGTGGGGATTGCAACGGGCCGCTCGCGCGGAGAACGGCGGATGTCGCCAAGATCCGGCACAAAGGTCGGAATGAGGTTGTGCCAAGGTCGGGCGAGGACGTGCTGCCACACGTCGAACACTTGCTCCGTCCACTCGCGCCGCAAAGTCAAGATCGCGGTATGCCTCTGCGGATTGACCGAGCTGATGTCGCCGCTGAACGCAGCAACCGTGGTGACGCAGCTCGTTCTGGGAGCCGCTCGCCGATGAACTGCGATCACCTCCGCAAATACTATTGCGTGAGGACTCCCTTTGATTCGAAACGCGGCGGCGGCACACACACCCATGTCGCAGAAAAATTGCGCCAAACGCTGAAGATCCGTATTGAGCCAAGGATGACAAACTTGGCGAATCTCTGAGATGTGGCCACGTGGCTGCAACAACTGTTCGTCCAGAGCCCGCTTCGTGATGAAACTCATGGCGAGGTTGGAGAGGAGGACGAAGGACAGGAGGGAGAGAGCGGAGTGAGAGTTAGATCGTCGTCGTTCTCCTCGCTTTCCGAGGAGGAAGAGGGAGGAAGATCAGAAGGAGGAAGAAGACAGAGGTAGGAGGTATGTCGGACGATGGGGACAGAGCTATGGCTGGCACTGGCCTCAGGCGCGATGCGCACTGTGTTGACGCCGTTGGGTCCGAGCTCGACAACGTGAAAACAGTCAGAAAACTTGGGAGCGAGTTTCCGGTCGCGTGCACATTTACGTACCTGCACTAGGTCCCCTAATTTATATTGATGCTGGGGCCCAGCATTTCCATTCCGAGCCTCGTAGCTACGGACCTGTCTACCGTGGGCCAGTTCGGTCATCCTTTGTCTTTTTCGGGCTAGCTTCGGGACGGCCTGTTCCATTAATTCGTTGTACCTTTTGGCCTTCGCCTTGAGGGCTGCACGCGTGTCTCTACCCCCTGCTTCGGCAATTTCCGAGTTACCTCGGTAGTCAATACAGGGGAGGCTATTAGTTCGAAGCTGAAAAGGGGTAAACCCCATGGACTCATGAGGAGTGGCCCGGTGGATCCCAACGATCTGATATACGATCTCGGGCAACGGACGCGTGTCGTGTGCTGCTTAGTTCCTGCGAAGGGCGGTTTTAACCATACGGTTGGCATTTTCGGCCAACCCGTTCGACTGGGACACGTGGGGTGCCGTATGTCGAAGCGTGACGCCCCTTCGCGCAAGCAGTTCTTCTACCTCACCCTTGAATTCAGACCCATTGTCGGTTAGAATTTCTTCCATATTTAGATGGGTATAGAGGAACCATTCGATGTACGTGGCTATTTCTACGGCTTTTTGGGTCTTGCAGGGATAGACTTCGATGTACTTGGAAAAATGGTCTATTAATACTAACAGGATAGAATATTCACAGCAATTTGGGTCAGGTGGCACGTCGATATTTGTCGTGTCCATACTGACTCGCTGAAAATGACGCTCTACTTTCGTCGGTACTATCGTGTTTGGTCCCCGTATTGGGGCGCGATCAGCGGCACAGATCAGACAGTTGGCAACAACGTATTTGACATTAAATCCGCTGAAAAACGGCCGCTCGTTGAACTGGCGAGTATCGGTAAGGAACGCAGCTAATGGGTGGGTGATCTCCTGTGAGAATGGCATGCTCGATCACATTAGTTAGGCCGATGTCATTATCGTGTATGCTCAATAATTCTGCGTAACCATTTACCACATAGATTAACGACTCCCGAAGTTCCGCGGGAACGTGACTCGGTAGGGTGATTGTTGATTCCCCGAAAATCTTAAGGGACATATCAACCCAATCAACCGGCTGTTCCGCGGATCATAGACACTAGAAAAAACGGAACTACTGGTGCGAACAGAGAAGACAGTTGCTATCATCTGGGACTCAGTGGGTCATCTCCGTTTCTTTAGTTTCGGCATCAGTCTTTGAACCAACCGAGGTCGGTTCCACAGTTAGCCCCGTTAGATCCGTCATTTCTTGCATCAGATCAAGTACATCACTTACCAGTGCTTCCGCCTCCTGTTTAATCAAGGCGATAGTGGCTCCTGTCGTTAGTAACTATCTGGGTGGAAAAACAGAAACATCCAAATACTGTTCCGTTTGCTGATAACGCGTTCGTAAGGAGAGAGCTCCTTCGTACAAAGTGCGAGGGGGTTCCAAATCATCGGCCAGGTCAGATACTTGTAATATTGGTTCCCCGAGCAGGACCGAAGGGCTAACTTGGGATGTCGGAGGTGCAAGCGCACTCTCTCCTGAATCCACGTGGAAGCTTCGGGCAGTGACAGGGCACACTTGGAATTCTTTGGCAATTATGTGTTCGAAAAGTTCGACCAAGTGCTTCCATTCATCTTTGCTAGGCAGCTCTTCTTTGTATTCCTGTTCCCCGATTCCACTATCGACGTCTAAGAAAGAACACTCCTCGGGATTAATGTATCGAATCATCCCTATTTGGGCCGAATTAGAGGTTCGTTTTATCGTTCGGGCGGAAATTCGCAAGGGAACAGTTTGAGGCTTTCCCCTAGTTTGCGTGAGCACTCGTTGTTTCGAATCAAAATGCAGTCGTGCGCCCACCGCCATCGCCCAAGGTAATCCCAACAACACGGAATAGGAACGCACATCTATTACGAGCGCGTTGGCGAGGACGTACACTCGTCCGACCTTTACAACCACATTCTCAATAATGCCTACGATGTTCATTGCTTCCTCGTCGGTTGAGACATAATTGTCTTTGCCAGATTGAGGAAGAATGGATCTAAGTCATCTTGTTTTTTTCACCGTATCTAAGGATATGACCACTGCGGAAGACCCTGTGTCGATAAGGGCATTAAACGGCTTGCCCCAAACTTCACAATCACACTCCGCGCTCTTCCATAATACCGGCTGTGCTCGTACGAAGTGATCTTTTTCTGCTAAAGAGATCGCTGCTATGCGTGCGGCTTCAGGTTCGCCGGCTTCGGGTTCGGGCGGTGCGACTTCCTCGCTTCCTTCCTTCTTCTTCAACATTCGCTGTATGTGTTGATAGGTAAAACGCTTTTGATTTTTTTGAGAGTGTTGCAAAAGTTTATCATTCGCAGCTTCGGATATGGTGAGCAAATGTCCTACTGGGATACGAACACGGATGTCTAATTGCATGAGAGTTCTCAATACGTCAATGTCTCCCGTCCGAAACTGCGGACCAGGATTGGAGTCGCGATCGACCCATTCGAGATCATCTTGGGCCGATCGGATTGCTCCGATCATGCCTTCGAGATGAAGATACTCAAGTGGATCGACCACATCAGCAGCGTCAGAGGAAGAAGCTCCCGTTGTCGACGTCGTTGCCATCGAGGGGGAAGGCTGTTCAGGGGCATATGTCACGAGCTCTCCTCCCTGGGCCGTATCCATCAACGCGGCCACTTGTCCTTGATTCAGGGCCACAGGGGCAACCGCAGGTGGGGGCTGACTACGTTTTGGCTGTGGACAGTCACGGAGGAAATGTCCGGGCTGTTTGCAGTTAAAACATTCGATCTTTCCTGTTGGGTGAGGGAACTGAGGTGCGTACCCTAGTGCAGGCGGGGCAGGCAGGAGTGGAAAAGACGCGGGGGCAGGTCGAGCAGGGGCCGGGTTAGGCTTAATCAACCTGCTCATTATCTGTTCCATCCGCTCTATATGAGCGGCCTACATTTGGATGAAGTTGCTCATCCATTCGGACTGCTTGGTAGTGGCCGTATGGATCATCTGGGCAAAATGTAAGTTGGTTAAGGTTGGCGAGGGGGGTTCGAGTGAGATCCCACTTTTGACTGTCGCGATCGGTTGATTCACCGGGGGAGAGGAAGACGAAACAGGCGGGATATCGGAAATGATCCCATCGGAAAGGTCATGGTCGGGGCGAGGGTAGAACCGTTCTACCGCTCGCAGCCACGATCGCCTTTTAGCCGCTACATCCCGTATGGTATCTGTAATATCCTCGTCTCCCTCGCTTATATATTTTTTTGTATCAGCCAGGTCCAGCTCCAACGCTTTAGCGATGACAGCCGATAAATGGTGTGTCTTCGGCGGGACCTATTTCTGTAATTTCCCTTTCAATGTCGGACTTCGTAGGTGATCGATAAACAGATCTCGAGCGGATTTCTCGTCTCGCCCAGATTTGTCCAACGTGGTTTGAAACTGATCCACGAAATTGGGTAATAATTCCCCTGGTCCTTGTGGCCGAGTCTTGAGCACGTACCAGGCGGCATCTTCACTTACCGTATCCAATTGGGCCAAGAAGGCTTGTTTGAAAGTATTCCAATTTATCGGTAAGAACGCGGGGAAGATCACCCGTGTAGTAGCCTTGAGCTTCAACGGCTTCCAACCAAGCCTCAGGATGGGTATGGTTGGGGAAGAAGGGGAAAGGGGCAGGAATGCTAACGATCACTCTAGTACCGTCTGCCATCGGCATGGCGGGTGCAACCGCACTAGATTGAGACCTAGTCATGGGGCGATCTCGACGAGCCACTTGAGAACTTCTCCTACCTCTCGCCAATTCGACTCACTATCATCTTAACCGACGCGTGTCGGCTCCGATACCAACCTCACGCCCTGTGCTGTCTTTCGTTCAAAGTGCTAGATGTGCGGAAGGAGGCCCAGAAAAACAGCAAGATGGGGTGTGCCAAGGATTTTTGAAAATTGAGTGTGGGGACACAGACGGAACTGAAATCCCCCCGTGTTGGTCCGATGAAGTAGGCCGGTTGCTTTCGCGCGCACGGGCATGGCGCGGAAGGAGAAAAATCCAAATTCAATCCAAAAAGTATTGTCGAGCTTCCCACCGTGCTACGATCCGTCGTTTAGAGCGAAAGGGCCTGGGCACGCTTCGCGTGTCCCGTTTTCGTATCAAGTCCCGTCGTCGTTCGCTGGTCAGTTCTGAGTCTGACGTGGATGGTCTCAGCCTCGTGGCTCTTTCTTTATGCTCGTCTTCACTCCGCACACGGTAGTGGAAACCCATGGATTCGTAGCGCTCAAAACGCTGACATTCGGTGCATAGAGTGCGAGGCCAGTGGGGTTCTACTGCCGTCCACGGGATGACAATCAACTCGTTGAATGACATCAATATCGAGTAAGGTGGGAAGTGCGTATCGATAATGACAAACCCAGCCTCTACGAACCCTGAACAACGATTTGCCGGAGGGAAGTAGTACCGTCCGCCGATTTGTGCAACGGCTTCTCGTACGTCCCACTCGCATACACGTGTCCTCTCCTCGTTGTTGGGAAAAGGCCGTGTTGAGACGGGAGGTGCGGGAGGCTGGTGCCCGATCGGAGGGTACTTGTCAGTCCACATATCAATCAATCGCAAAAACCTTGAGACGTCATCAAGAAAAGAAAACGCTCGCGCACCCCCCCCCCAATCAATCCTTTTCTACACGAGAGAGAGAGAGAGAGAGAGAGAGAGAGAGAGAGAGAGAGAGAGAGAGAGAGAGAGAGAGAGAGAACACTCATCAGCTTGATCATGCATGTAACTAGCGGACCGGCCCGCGACTTGGGTTTAGTGAGCCAGCACGACGTTGATCCGTGGCTCGGGTGCTGTTTGTCGTGCAGCCTAAGGCAGATGGCATGCGCCGTACATTCAGAGCTACAGATCTAAACACTCTTGCATTCTCGAACAAAATCCCAACAACAATCATCTAATCAACGCAAAAGAAACGCGGATCTCCATACATTCATTCACTGTGGAAGGTGCGAAAATGAGATATGCGCAGAGACAAAAAGGATGGATCGGAACAATACACACGCATCCACTGTTCACAAGACAAGAAGACGGGGTTCTTGCATAGGGGGACTACCTAGAAATAATGGAAGAGTTCCGGAAGAAGTTCTTTCACACAAAACATCATGCCGACTCATTCTCGTTCAAGAGAGAGAGAGAGAGAGAGAGAGAGACATCAAGACACATCATCATTCAAAGATAGAGGAGAAGGGGGGGGGGGGGGGGGGGGAGATGAGGGAAGAATGTCGAGAGAGAGAATGACGAGATCCGAAGAGAGGGGGGTTGGCGTTGCCGCCGTACACTCACGCCAGAGATAAAGATTCACAACCACAAAGGCGCATTCGCCGTTAATTCCAATATGGCCCCGGGCCAATCACTCACTCAACTCCGATCATCAATCCCCATACCTGCACC